TCTTACTCCGTGTATTGTAGACGGGCCTTTACGGACTTACGTTTTTCTATGTGCTCCCGGCTTAATGCAGGAACAGAAAACAGACCACGTGTTATATATAGACTTGGATCTTTCGATCATTTTTTGTTGCATAGTACTGTTACTCTTCTTAGTGGGTCAAAAATTCAAATAGAGTCTTGAGAAGAACTTTCGAATATAAAAATATCGAAAAAGGAAATATAATCCATGTGTAATCATGGAAAATAAGAATAAAATACAATATCTTATTGTTGATACAAGTGCTTTCATAAAGAATGCTGCCTTACAGGTAATTATTGAGATACTAAAAATATAAAATGAAAGACCATATTATTGACATACACATATGAACAATATTTATATAGATATATTTGATTATACACATATAATTTTCTTAAAATATTGTTTTATTTATTTAACTACAAACTTTGAAAGTAATTGAAAAAATTTATATAAAATTGTTTTCTTATTTATTAATTAATGCAATAATAGTCGAACTGAATTGCATGTAATACTGATAACCTTTAAATCTTGTCTCTGATTCTGACATTGAGGTGGATATTACTGCCATTTTTTCATATTAAATTATAAGTAGATAATAATCCAATTTTGGTACTTATCCAGAAGACGCTCTTCATCTTCAATTTTAATGAAATTATGCTCATTCGACCCTATATTTTGATACGTGAGATGGACGTCGCTTTGCTTAGAAAGTTGTAAAGTTATATGAAATCTTATAGGTTTATAACTTATTATGCAAAACAAGATTCATCCTATACAAAAATATGGGGTGGATTAGGTTTTTTTTTTCAGAGTGAAACGTACTGTCTCCTTACATATACTTTTCATAAATTTTCATGCTCACATTGTACTTTTGCATGGCTGTAACAGATTTCCTAACCCAAATAATCGTCAACTTTAATGCTTAATATCTTAGGTCTGTTTTCTGTAGCTGAACTAGTGTATACTTTTGGAACTTAAAGTGAGATAGATATACATTTGATTATTTGATATTTGTTTGAAGCGAGAAAGAGAGTTTTAGAACAGTCTAGTGCAGGAATAGAAAATAAACCACTTGTTTTGTGTGACAGAGTATTTTACTGTCAGATTCTTTTGTTTCATGCACAAATATGTCGAATGAGCATAATTTGAAACTGAAGATGAGGATCGTTTTCTGGATAAATACTAAGTAATTTTTAGAATAATAACCTAATGCTATAGTAGCTATTATGTATTAGAATAATAATGGCTGCATTCAGCAGAACGTTTATTTTGCAACTGTAGGAAGTTTTCTTTGCATTGATTAGATTATGTTTTTCTTATCAATAAGTAAAGATACGACGCACATGTCTTGACACACAGAAGATTGAATGGCGTTTGATGGACTCTTATATATCCTTTCACTCGTATCTTTACTTATTGATAAGAGAAAAGAGTCCTTTACTAATTTATATTTATTTTTTCTGACTGTATATTTATCTGACTTTTTATATATTTTTCTGACTTTATATTTATCTTTGCTGACTGTAAACATGCGTTTTAACAAATGTTCTTATTTTAAATTTATTTTTATTAATTATGGTCCTCAGGCTGTTAAATTACTTAAATGTGTATATTTATTTTTTGAAAAATTGTTTATATTACATAATATAATTTAAATATTTTTATTAATATCTGAAGATGGCCTAATCAAAAGGTTGAAACATGTAATTATTTTTAGTATCTTGACTCATATAAGTTGTATGTTCTCTGATAATTTTGTTAAAAAATTTTATTGTTAAAAATGCATTTTATGTCTTGACGCATAGATGATTTAATGGTGTTTGATTGACTCTTATATGTCCTTTCACTCGTATATTTACTTACTAATAAAAATAGATGTAGCTCAGCAGAAAAATGAATTTCTCAAGCTTCAAGTTTCTTTTAATTAGTAAATTAGCTTTTATAGATCACATACTTTCAATTAAGCGTTATGAGATGATTAGATTTGTTAAAAATTCGATTAAAAATAGATAAAATAATATAAGATGTAAACAATTATAATACAAGATATAGTTTCGCATTTTAAAAAGCATTTAAATTTTGATTGAAAATAATGTCGACACTATCAGTAATATGATCTTTTGTCCTGATGAATATATAATAGATGAATGCAGAAATATCAATTTTAATCATAATAATAAAGTTGTGTGTATATGTATAAAATATTGATAAAATTATGTATATGATGTGTGCTTCTTCAAAAGATTTACAAACAAGATGTTATTTTATTCAAAATATTTTATATGGAAAGTATATTTAATATAAAATATATTCTAATCCTCTCTCCGTTTCCAATAAAATTTTAATTTAATAACTTTATTTGTGTAGGATATTGGAGTTAATATTTTGACCGAGCAAGCTGTCATCAATGAAATAAAAAATAAGAAACAGTTGAGAAAATTGGTTGTACTACCGTATGACTTAAAGGTTCAGGAAGCTTTTACTGAAAATATTAAATTCGGTAAGTAAAACTCACTAGTAACTTTGTTGTCGCCTAATGTATAAATAAATATGTATACATACATACATATATATATATGTATATACAGGGTGAATGTTAATGTATATCTGTATAGATATTGACTGCAGCTGTAATCACCTAAACGGTGCATAGATGGCTGTCGCTTAGATATATCGCTTAGATGTCGCATATACGTGCTAAAATAGTACACATAATCATTATAAACTCAAAAAGTATTTACTTTTTAAATTCTTTCTTTAAATTTATGAAAGATGATCACAGATGCAATCAATAACTTATTTTCCATGGCAAAAGGACAGATATGCATTAACTCTGTATATAACATTTACCTTGTATATACAATATATACCATTTATATATACATATATATATCATATATATGTATACATATATGTATATGTATACATACACTGGATAAATTATTATAAAATGGTCCACTCTGTACGTGCGTGCGTGTGTGTGTGTGGATTTATATAATTGAGTAGGTCATTTTAATCAATACACGCGAATATCTCGAAAAGGAAAAATTTTTTCAAAAAATGTTTTGGACAAAAGTTTTATGGTTTCAAGGAGGAAAAAAGACGGTGACTTTGGGTGACTCACCTTGAGAAGAAGTCTTTAAGGTCAAGTCCATGTTACATAAAATTTTGTTAACGGAATCTTCCATTTTTTATTGCCAATTCTTGTAGCTTATTTCAAGAGCTTTCCAAAACGCTATAATGAAGTATTTTTTTCGTTAAGTACATTTCGAGTTATGAGGTTTGAAAGTTAGTACTGCCGGCATTTGCATTATCCAGTTATGTAAAGAAAGAGGGGGGAAGGGAGGGGGGGAGGGAGAGAGATGATATGTGAAGATGATGACTTTGAGTAATATTTAGAAGGTTTTAGTCGTCAGTCATCTTGGATAATGCAAATGTCGGCTGTACTGTTATTTTCGAACCTCATAATTCGAAATGTACCTAACGAAAAACTACTTTATTGTAGTGTTTTGGAAAATTCTTGAAATAAGCTACAAGAATTCGCAATAAAAAATGGAAGGTTCCATTAAAAAAATTTTATGTAACATGAACCTGACCTTAAGGACGTCTTATCAAGGTGAGCCAAGGTCATCGTCTTTTTTCCCTCTTGAAACCATAAAACTTTTGTTTGAAATTATTATTCTTGAGGCTTTCACGAATGCTTTCTATATAAAAGTTATGCGTTTTGCGGATTTCCTTCGTGTCCAGATCCATTCTTGAAATGCCAACGTTTCATGAACCTTGTAGTCCACTTCATCAGGGCAAGGAGCATCCTGATACTTATCAATTTAATGCGAAATGCATAACCTTTATATTTTGCCTGAAATATTTTTTGAAAAAATTCTCCTTTTCGAGATATTCGTGTTTATTGATTAAAATGGCCTACCCTATATATGATCGTTAAATATTAATAAATATATTTAAATATAATATATATAATAATAAAAAATTGTGTGCAAATACCTCAAACGAGAAGACATAGCAAGAATATTAATTCAATAATTAAACAGTGAGTCAAATTAATTTTTAGAAGCAAAATGCGATCAGAGTAAAAAAATTAACTTGTTCAATCAGAAACTTCTTATGTTATGTGATAGCGTGTAAGCGACATTCTGATGCTCAGTAATAGACTGTTGAAAGTGGGGATGAGATTGGAAGGGGAGTAGAGATAGGGATAGGGATGATGGAAGTAAGATAGATAAATAGATAGATAGATAGAGCGTTTATTGCTGTCCTATAGGATGAACCCTCTAAGTACATACATGATAAGTAGCCATATGGCAGATACAAAGAAAATACTTAATGAGAAAAATATAACAAACTAGATTGTGTTATTAATAAGAAGGACACAGTTGTCGAATTCGAAGGCGAGTAGGAAGACAATTCTTCCTGTACTTAAGTCTTCATAGAATGTCATTCACTTTATTGGAGGTCAGCCTTACGTGGCCGGTCCAACTAAGTGTGCTCGACATGGAGACACCCAGATTGATCACCTCATCGACAAGCGCAATGGGAAAGCCATCTAGGAACAGCTCGATGTTGCGATGCCCTCTGAGGTCGTCAACATACCGAGCACTACCCAGAAGAATGGCTTTGGTTTTGCTTGGATTTAGTTGGAGACAATTCTGACGCGACCACTGCGAGATAGAGGCGATGTCCTCGCTGATCCGTTCCAACCTCTAGTTCATGAGGATGGAAGTGGAGGTATATCTGCAGATCGTCCGCATACAAAATATGGTGACAATTTGGCAGCAAGGAGCGTTCAAGGTCATTGATAAAGATGGCAAAGAGTAAAGGACCCAGTACTGAGCTCTGGGGGACCAAGATGAGAAATTGTCCGGATCCCGCACATGCTGCCACCTGCTTGAAAGGTACGACCGGAACCAGTTTATGACAGAGTTGGACATGTATTTGAAATATTTTTATTTAAAACACACTATTTGCAATACAAGCATATTTTATATTTTTTATTTTAGCGCATCACATAAAAGTATTACGTATTTTGTATTTAAAATCGAAAGATTGAAAGCTTTTTGTATCTTGTAATTTAAATAATAAGATCGATTATCAATGTTAGTATTTGAAATACAAAATACAAAATACTTTCATAACCTTCTGTTATTAATACTAAAATATAAAATACAAATTACTTTTATATGCTTCCATGAAATACAAAATACAAAATATTTTCATGTACTCTGAATAAACACAAAATACAAAATATAATTGTCTTACCAAACCTTGTTTTTCAAATAAAAGTATTTCAAATACATGCCGATCTCTGGTTTATGACATGATTTGAGATATGGAAGTTAGAGAGCTTTCGCAGAAGCAGATCATGATCACCGAATCGAATGCTTTGGAGAAATCAAAAAGGACGAGTAAGGTGACCATTCCTTTTATCAATGGCACGCCTGACATCGTCAGTTAGCCTAACCGAGGCCGTCTGCGTGCTGTGGCCGCTCCTGAAACCAGCCTGGAAGAGATCTAGGAGATTGAGATGTTGAAGATGAGCTGAGAGCTGATTGAATACTATACGTTCTAGGATTTTAGAGAGGATACAAAGGAGAGAGATAGGACGGAAATCAGAGGGGGACGCGGGATTTTTAATTTTTGGAAGGAGTATGACTGCAGAACGTTTCCAGGCTGATGGAAAGATGGAAGAGTTAAGGGAGAGGTTAAAAAGATCAAGGATTATTGTGAAGATGACGGGAAGGCTATCAAAAAGAAGGCGACGACCGTTGCCATCAAGACCGGCAGCAGCCGACCTTAGTTTATTGAGCGCTTCCATCAAGGTAGAGGTAATATGAAGAAAGTAGAAGTGAGAGGATCGGAGATAAAAGGCAGATTAGACATACCAGGGGAGAGGCGGGAAAAAGGAAAGGCAGGAACAGCCGAGGAAGCAAAAGGAGAAGGTGGAGGAGGGTAGGAGGAAGAGGAAGAGAGATGAGCCGAGGCAAAGAAAGAATTTAGGTTTTCAAGCGAAAATTCGTAGTTGAGGGAAGAGAATTTCGGCTTGGTAAAGCCCATAGATCTGAGCTCAGACCAGAGTCGCGAAGGAGACGAGATGGAATTAAGACGACACAATAGATAGGCATCTCTGGAATAGTTAACCCGAAGGTTGACCTGATTACGCAGAAGACGGAAGACGCTCCAGTTAGCGGGGAAGAATGCAAGCAAAAGTGTCTTCGCGCTGCATCCCGCTCTCGCATGAGAGCCCTGATGGACTGATCGAACCATGGAGCCGGAGGCCTTCTGGCTGTGAACGAACGAAGCGGATGAATATCACGAGCAGTACAGAGAAAACGATTTAAGATATCCACTTTATCGTCAAAGAAGGAGAAACGGCACATGGCTGACCAGTCAAAGGAGCGTAGGATGCTGATAAATTCATCGGTGTTAAATGAAGAGTAACTGCGAACGCTGATTTCGCGGGGAGAGAGACGATTCGGAAAGTCAAGAGTCACCTCTATGAGATCATGCATGGAAATAAATGAGAGATATATATTGGCGGAATGATTTTATAAGCGATCTATTGCTAATAAGACAGTGATCTATGCGAGAACTGGAGGAAGTGGTGTGATGGGTATCAGAGAAAGGGACGATGTAGAGGTGATAGCTTGAAGAGAAATCAAGAAGAGAATCAGAGTCAAAGAAATGACGATATTAAAATCACTGATGATGATGGCAGAGGAGAAAGAGGGGTGGCAATTTTTCGAAATCAGCCCAGAAGAGAGAGAGATGACCCACCTTAGACGGACGATAAATCACGGCAAGCAGAAACGGCCCGCATCCCCCGACAGTCACGCTCAGCATTAAATATTCCGGCTGGGCACAGTAAGTTTTAGGTGAGGAAGCCATGAGTTTTGTCTGTATCCCGTTATGCACATAGAGGCCGACCCCTCCTCCATCCCTATCATACCTCACGAGGTACTATCCTGAAACCGTAACGAAGCTGTCAGGAACATGAGGCTTCAGCCACGTTTCCGACATCGCGATAATATTAATGATTTCTGGAGAAATATTCGCTAAAATCTGAGAAGTGGGGGAGGAGAGATTGGCAATTTACGTGACAAAGTTTAAAAGGTGCATGAGGTGTAAAGTCCGTACCCACCCCGGGTCATGTTTTGCGTTGTGGATTTCGTTTGGGGATGGTCCCAGTGAGGGAAGCGCCCGTCGCAGAGGGTTGTTTAGGTATTGCAGAGGATGTGGACGAGGAGAGAGGAGGAGGAGGAGGGACCGAGGAGAGCCTTCATTGAGAGAGAGGTGAGGCAGTGCTGCATTGTCTGAGGGCTGTAGCGGATCGGAGAATGATTCACGGCGCGGCAAGACAGGGGCCGCGGGGCACCCGCCATGATGTCACTCAGGTGAGCGTAATGTCGCACAATAGTGGACGAAGAAGTTGGGGATCTCGCCCCACGTGTGACACCATTCCGGACCCACGCGCAATGGAGACGACCC